AAAATTCAATTTGCTTGATTCATCTCAAAATACATAAATGAAAGAATAAATAAATGAAAGAATGAATAAATGGATGAAGAAAGAAAAGAAAGAAAGAAAGAAAGAAAGAAAGAAAGAAAGAAAGAAAGAAAGAAAGAAAGAAAGAAAGAAGAAAAGAAGAAGAAAGAAAGAAGGAAGGAAGGAAGGAAGGAAGGAAGGAAGGAAGGAAGGAAGGAAGGAAGGAAGGAAAGGGGGGGTAGGGAGGTCAAGCAAGGGAAGATACTGGGATAGTGTCCTTGGCATTAGTTTCACATCTAAAAATTAACATATGGAAATTGATGGAAGAACCAAATCCAAACTCTTTGCCATCACCAACATTAGCTTCCGACCAGCTTCCACCAACAGGCAGATAGACCCAGAAACCCCATTAGTGGCAGCTCCATCAAGAACACTAGCCCTGTTTTTAGCCCAGACCCTGTATCCCTCCACCTCGGGAAGCAACCCCCATAGAGATGTGACCTAGTAATTTCTTTTGCAGATGCTGCAGCCTCCATTGTCTCAGTAACTATAGCTGCTGAAGACCTGGAAAAGAAGTTCTCCTCTTCAAAATCCTTTATATTCTCACATGATCCAACATCAAAAATGGATATGGTTTTACCAGTGGAAATGGCATGAAAGAAGTTGTGTTGCCATCTGCTTTGTTCCTGCACCCTCAGTACCATGAGCCTTTCCAACTGACTTGCAGGTGAAACCTCCTATATGTATTGTCTCCCTCCTTAGAATACGAGTTCTCTGAGAGCAGAGATTATCTTCTATTTTGTCCTCAGCACTTAACACAGTGCTTGCCACAGAGTAAGTGCATATTAAACTTTTTCATTCATTGCTTTCACTTCATTATTTCATTTCACATACCTTCACATATTGTGATTCCTTGCTCCAACAGTCTTAGAAATATGGAATGGGGGAAACCAAAATAGTTAGGAAACAAAATCTTTGAATATTTTGTTCAATTCTATATTTTCCCTTTAGTTACATTTGTTTACATATAAGATAGGAACATTAATATTCCCTAGTATTGTGCTAGTATATGTTTTTGTAATTGCTAATTTTTACTTTATTAATTTGGCTGCTATGCCATTTGGAGCAAATTGAACCAAAACTGCTATTGGTTCATTTTCCATGGTTCCTTTAAGCACAATGCAATTTCCTTGTTTATCTCTTTTTATCATGAATATTTACTTTTGCTTGGATCTCATAACTTCAACTGTTTTTTTCAATTCACCTGAATTTGTATTCACTATTTTCCTTATAGTCTATAGTAAATTGTGTTTCAGCATCTCACCATTATTTTAAGTATGCCTTTGATTTTTATGTGTGTTTCTTGTAAATGAGGTTTTATTTTCATATCCAGGCTGGATTTTATAAGATTGCTAAATACTTTCATATTTAAAGTTAGGAAAGTTAAGTATGCCATTTCCTTCATTTGTGTTTTTAATATTGTTGACAATGTTTTAATTAGTATTTTTCTTCTTTTCTTTCCTCAACTAAATCAGTATTTCCCCCCTACAATTATTTTTGCTTAATATACTCTCATGCATCCACATCAACATTCAGATTCTTTCCCCTATTATATCCCCTCCCATTTGTCAATCCTTCCCCTAATTTTAGAATGTTATCTAACTTTTTTAATCTGTTTTATTTAGTTTTCTAATTTCCCCTTCTTTTCTTCCCTTTTTCTGTTAACTAGATAATACAAAATCTCCCTTTCTCTCCTCCAACTTTTTTTTTAATTTCCCCCTTTTGTTCTTTTTTTTGTAAGAAGGATTTTTTTTTACCTTGTTTTCATGTTCATTTATCTTTATATCTATTCTAAATTTTCATTCTTTAACTTGTGGTCTACATACATGTTTTTCGTGGAACTACAGCTTTTAAAGGATCAAGAACTCCCTCTTGTAACAAATTATTGATTGTTAGCTTTGTAGATTTTATCCCCTTGCCCTTTTCTTTCACTTGTCCTTCACTATTAGAAGTAGAAACTCATGATGGAAGTAATGAGGATAAATTATTCTATCTCCCAATTCATGTTGTCCAATTCTACCTTTTGACCTCTATAATCATTCTCTGCCATGTGCCATACCAACTCTTCCCAACGTTTGTGTCCTTTTACCTTTCTGGGTCCAAGTTGCCTCCAGTAGTTCTGATTTCCCTTCTCTTATAGCATTCTCTTTTCCATGGAGTCACAACACTCTTTCAGAGAAAATTGTCTCCCAATGCACTAACTCTCCTGGATTAGACCAATTGTAAAGTCCCCATCTCCCATTATAGAAATAATACATCTTCCTTAATGGGAATATTCATTAATGGAACCTCCACACCATGGATTGAGAGCTCTCCTTTTTATTCCTTCTGTTTCAATCCCTCCCTTTGCCATCTCTCCCATTCCCTTATAGTTCTTCTTAAATCTTTGGGATCAGAGATAATTTTATAGACCATTCTCCTTGAAGTTGCTATGGCAGTCAATGGCACTTGTAACATACTCTACCATTGCTGAGACTTTTGCTAAGGAGATGTGAAGCTGTTTTCTGAACCAATCAATCAGGAAGCACTTATTAAGTCCTTTGTTGTTGTGGTCATTGTTATTTTTGTTGGGTCATGTCTGACTGTTCATGACCCCATTTGGGTACTGGAGTGGTTTGCCACTCATTTTACAGATGAGGAAACTGAGGCAAATACGGTGAAATGACTTGCCCAGAGTCACACAGCTAGCAAGTGTCTGAGGCTATTTGCCAATTATTCTGCTAATACTGGGGATGCAAAGAAAGGTAGGAACTGTCCTTGCCTCTTAAGGAACTCACATTCTTAATGGGGGCAGACCTCATGTAAATAGGTATATGCAAGATTCACAGAGAGTAGATAGAAGGTAAATAGGAGAAGTATGAGCAAAAACTGAACCAAATCTTTCCTCCTTTTAAGAAGTCTCAAGGGATTGTTCGTGTCCCTCCAGAGAAGACAGGGTCTCATTGTTTAATATCTTGTTTCAAAAGACACCCACAAAGAGCTGCAAGCAATTCAATTTATCTCAATGGCAGCATGAAAACTTAGGTCAGCTACACAGATATTACCCTGTGGTTATTGAGAGTTACTATATCTCAAAAACCTAATGTAACAATCAAAGACTACCATTTTTGTTACTGTTTCAATACATGTTCCTTAACATAGAATAATTTAAAATGAAATACATATAAACAAATATACATTTATTTCACCTTAAATTACTCCTTCTTTATATGTGTGTGTATACATACACATACATGGATAGATAGATCAATAGATCAATAGATAAATTTGTAGGGATTGGAGAACTGATATTGGGAGTCATCAATTGTACATGGAAATCCACTATACTTGGAGATGAGTGAAATGAATTCCAAAAAGGTAGGGTCTAGAACAATTGCAAGTTGGATGTGTGAGATATTCCTACATTTTTCTTAATTGTGAAATTTTTCACACTAAAGCTGTGGTGTTGGACTATTGAATAGTAGGTGAACTTTTTTACATGGGGCTAGCCAAGACCCAAAACACTCATGCTCAGCAACTTCGTGTGGCAAAAACAAATTAGTTGAGAATTATTTGACAGCTGAAGGGTGAGAATATCAATACACACACATTTATTTTCCTCACGTTCATATGGGTTCCTGTACCCTCAGAGACATCAGATTTCTCTCACTGGGTGGCCAGCTCTAATTGTTTGCCAGTTAATAAGTTTCTTCTGCCTTGACTGGGAGGGGCCCCTGGCTTAATTCCTTGTTCTTGCTCACTGACTTACTTCCCTAAGGGGCTTGAGCATTGTCATTAACATCTTTAAGGAGATTGATGCACTTTCTGAGATGTTCCAGGAAGCAGCCAAATCATAACGTAATCAGCAAAACAACAAGTCATAAACTTGGGGAGTGTGACATGATCTAAAGGTTCAGAAATGAATTAGGATATTGTCAGGGCAAGTGCTCAGTCACCATGCAGTCTATCGAGAATGTTAGAGTCAAACTCTGCCAATGTTTCGTGAATTGTCCGGAGAATAGGGTGCTGTGTTTGGCCCACATTGGTTTGTTGTAGAGAGCTGGCATTAGTTCTGAAGGGTGACTCACCAAGCCCTTATAGCTTGATAAGTGTCCCTTAAGACCATTAAACTCAATCTTCTCTGGTTCCATATTTTCTAAGCAATTTTCAGCTCTTAATTTGGTTTTCAGGTACTTTTCTGTGGGGAAAAGAGTGTGCTGACTGGCACACATGAACGATCTACTTGACAGTTATACTTTTCATTATAAATTAATAGATTGGCACTCTGCTTTTTAAACCAGCTGTGGTGAGTTAGTTTTAGTTTGAAGCAATTCACCAGAACCTGTGACCTGAGACCCTTGGTGAAATGATGCAATTGAATCTGACTCTGGACTCCTGCGGGTAAACCAGCACCTATAGGTAACCTGTAGAGAAAGGGAAAGCCATTACATTCAAATTTCAAGCACCATTTGCCTCTTTGGAGGAGAAAGCCATATCTCTTTAAGAAATGAGTTGGGAAATAACTATTTTCTGATTGAAAAAAAGCAACAATCCTGAGGATGCATGCTGTTTAGTGTTGAGGTCTAGCTATATGGCATGAATCTCACTTTTTTGTTTTTGTTTTGCTATGTATAGCTAAGCAAACAGGAGGACAGGTGGACCTTGTACTGTAATTTAGTCCAAAAAAAACCAACACAATGATGTGTGTATATTCCTCTTGTTCTTTACAGAGAAGGCAGGATCCTCTGGCACAGATTTAAGGGCCCCCTTCCTGCTATGCTCTGATTACATTTTTTTAAAGTAAAATCAAAGAACACTTTTCCTCTGGGAAATCTGGCATCATAAAATCCTTGATTTAGAACTCAAAAAAGACTTTGATGGCCATTGAGTCCAACCTCTCATTTCACACATGAGGAAACTGAGGTTTAAAGAGTTTAAGGGACTTGCCTGAGGTCATAAAGCTGGTTCCTGGGACCTGTCCTTCTGACTTGCAGTGGAAACCTGTGTGTTGTCCTCCCTGTTAGACTGTCAGCTACCTGAAAACAAGGATTGTCTTACTTTTATATTTGTATCCCCAGTGATTTGTCCATACCTGTTGCTTAATGAATACTTTCCTCCTCCCCAGGGATTCATTCACATATCTGGGCATGGGAGGTGGGGGTTTAATAGAGGTCTTCCTGGCTCCAAGTCTAGCACTCCATCAACTGTGCCACACTCAATTCTACAGTGGTCTCCACAGTGTAAAACAGTCTCATTGGCCCTTTTAGAGTTTAATCTTTTGCCTTGCTTGGTTCTCAAAGAATCTCTTTTTTGGGTCAAAATTTCACTTTTTTCATATATATATAAAATTAAACATAAATATATATAAATTTACATTTAAATTAAATTTATTATTATATTATGTTACATATATTATATTATATTAAATATAATTATAATTATATAGAAAATATATATAATATAAATGTATATAAAATTTAAATGTTCTTGACTTATTTTCTTATTACTTGTTACTTCTTGTTCCCCATATTAAACTGTCAACTATAAGGAGGTGTCAACAGGGAGGCAACCTTGGACCTGTGCCCCAAATAAGAGGAGCCTCTCCAAAGCCTTCTTAAGATTCCCTCTGCCCCAGATTCCCAGAGACCTACTACTGGGCCATCACCACTCATCTTGACTCTTGTCTTGCCACTGGACCCTGGAGGAGAGAGTGAGACTGATGACTTTACAAAGTTCTGCCTCACTTAAACCAATTCATGCACAAGTTAAGACATCACCCTCCTGATGTCATTGGTCCTCTTCGAGAATGAAGGACGCACAACAATCTGTGACCTGCCACTCTAGGTCCAATTGGTCCTTTGAGTCTAAAGTACGTTATTCTGAGGGAGATCGAAAACCCCACTCTTAAAGACAATCCCTGAAGAAAAAGTAGGGATTTCATGTTAAACTTGCTTCTCAAGAAGTAACTCATAATTCATACACAGGACTATGCAGCCCTGTATGACATTTGGGGTGGGGGGAAAGCTAGCATTTATATAGAGCTGTAAGGTTTGCAAACTATTTATAAATATTATCTCATTCAATCCTCAAAACCCTGAGTTGTAGGTACAATTATTATCCTCATTTTACTGATGAGGAAACTGAGACAAAATCTGAGTGACTTGCTCAGGGTTACACAGTTAATCACCATGTCTAATTTATATTATTTCTCTAGTTCATTGCAGCTCTTTCTTATATGAAGACTGGCCACCATAACGACCCCCTTTCTCCATCCTGTCAAGATCCTGATTGATAGAGTTATAAACAGAAAGGGATAAGTGGAGCTATGCTGTGTGAGTGGCTAACCTTACAAGGTGCCTGTAGGTATTACCTTGCAACTATTGGTTGGTGCCTATGGGAGAGGTTGGACTGCTAATGTCAGCAAATGTGGCTTGACAGCTACCACCTTGTTGAATGAGGGTCTGTGGAATTCTGAACCAGGCATCCATCTCCTCTTCCTGAAGGCCACTGGGACTCTAACACCGTGAATACCTGCTATCGAAGTTGGAGAGGAGGCAGGCGTTTGGTATGGAAGTGGGAGCATCAGGGAACACCTGATATTTAAAATCTGCAAGAGAATGATCTAGGTATCAATCAGTCAGTTAAACAGTCAGGCCCTAATGTGGGCAAGCAACTATGCACTAGAGATACAAAGAAAGTCAAAAGACAGTAAGGTTTAAAAAGACTGGAAAATTGTATGTCTGAGAGTTTGGTTTTAATGACTTTAAAAAACAAGCAAGATTTTATATTTGATCCTGGAGGTGATAGGGAGTCACTGGAGTTTACCTATCATGAGATGAGAAGATGGATATCTCAGGGTTTTCATTTGAACCTCACAACAACCTTTCTAGGTAGATTATCTGATTTGTAGCATTGGTAATAAGTGGTAAAGAAAAAAAATTGGTCAAAAATGGTAAAAAAAATTTGGAAAAAAAAATGACGATTGGTTGAGCTAGTTTGAGTTGCGTCTCAGAGAAACAAAGTGACAGAGGTAATGAGTAACATACAGGATCTGAATGCACATCCCTGGGCCCCCAAAGCCATGTGTTTTTCCACTGTACCAACTGCTGCTTCTTAAATTAACTACATTTCAGGCTTGCTGCCTCCTCTGACATTGGAGAGACCCATACTAGCCACTGTCCCAATTATTTTATTTTTCTTCATCTCTCTTCTTCTTCTTCTTCTTGTTTTTGGCAGTTGGGGTTAAGTGACTTGCCCAGGGTCACACAGCTAGTAAGTGTCACATGTTTAGTCTTAGGCCGAATTTGAACTCGGGTCCTCCTGACTTCAGGGCTGGTGCTCTATCCACTGTGCCACCTAGCTGCTCCCATCTCCATTCTTCTTGAATGAGTAGCATATGTTAACATTTTCTCATATGAATTCTTCATTTTAGAATTTTAGTCCAAGATGTGATATGCAGGTTTAGAATTTTAGAAATTCCTTTTATTTTTTCTTTTCCCAGAAGTATCAGATTGGGAGTGGGAAGTGGGTTGTGATTCAAGCTAACCAACTCTGAAGACTGATTTATGCATGAGATTTCTCTTTTATAGGACTTACAACAGGGACACACTTACCAAGACAGTTGGTACCTTTCATTTGCATGAAAGACACTCCTTTTCCGTTAGGTCAGCTCAGAAGGTGAAAATGTTTTTGCAAAATTTTCTTGGGGGTTTTCAGTTCTTTGGGCCTAGTATCCCATTTGTAAGTAGTGTGTATCAAAATCCCCTCACATCTTCTTATCCTTCAAAACCCTTGCCCCAGTTCTTCCAAAAATCTTCTATAGGGATCTAGTACAAAGGAAAGAACATTGGCTACAGTCAGAAAAACCAAGTTCAGATCCTTCATCTGACACTGCTTGTGATACCGAGGGGAAGTCAATTAACTTATCTGTACCTCAGTTTCCTCATCTGTAAAATGAGGGGGTGGGATTAGATGGCCTCTCAGATCCTTTCTAGTTCTATCATCTCCTGACCCAGCCGGTGCATTGGATTCCTTTTGTTAGGTCTTTTGACATCACCTGGGTATCAGTACAACAGACAGTCTACTACTTTCTCTCGCCTACACAGTAGGCCCACTTGGTGAACTTATAATTAGAAAAAAAAGGAATTAGGTGTTACCAAATGATATTCACATCATGCTAACTAATATAGCATGGTATCTTATATATTTTTTTCTGTTGCAGAGAGTTGATACTTCATCTTTTCTCTGCCATGGAGAAATGATCTCTCTAAATATCTTGTCATCATACTTTAAAATGAGAATACCAGCTCTACTTGTCATTCTAGAATTGTCCTGATTCAGACTCTGTTCCTTTCCTTTAGGAATAACTTTTTTAGGTCTTCTGGAGCTAATACTGTTGCAGTATTACCTCCTACCATGGTCTAATTTGTAAAACTTCTACTTATTATGCAGCAGTAGTAATAAATATTGATTATGTACTGCAGAGTTCACCATGCTGAACAGAATATATTGTCCCTCCCTAGTTAAAAAGCAAAACAAGAGAAATAAAATATCAGAAAAAATGTCATAGACAAAGGATAGTTTTCTCTGGTGCAAATTACAAAGCACAAATACTTCCATTTTCTTTTTATACATCAGATGCTTATCATACTCTACCAAGCCACTTTTGTCCTAAGGGAATCTTCCCTGTTAGAAAGAAAGGAAAATATCTATGGAAGAAACGAACATAGAGGGGAAAAAAATGTAAAACTCTTGGCCAAGACCAACTGTTCCAAGTGTGAGAAGAATCAGGGACAATGTGGAGAGATGAGATGGAAATGGAAAACAGAAGATAAAAGGATGATCTCATGGAAAAAAATGGCAGCTTTCCTGTTAGAAGGCCTGTGTTTGAAACTTGGTTCCATATTCCTCATCTCTACCTCCTGGTTTCCTTGGCTTGTTTTAAGTCTTAGCCAAACTCCTACCTTCTACAAGTTTTTCCCTATCCCCTTTAATGCCAGTGCCTTCCTCTTTTGATTATGTCCAATTTATCCTATAGATAGCTTATCTGTTACATAATTGTTTGTACGTGGTCTCTCCCATTAGACCACGGACCATCATGGAGCATCAAGCACAAAGACTATCTGTGAACTTTCTTAGTGGAGTGCCTGGCCCATGACAGATACTTAATAAATGTTTGATGACTCGGCATGACTAAAGGGCCAAGGACACAGTAAGTGGACCTTTTTATTCCATTTAAGTGGCCTGAAAACTATATCCATTTGACAAGAGGCCAAATTTATCAGGGAAAGCTGCTAGAGTTGTGTTTCATTGGCCAGCAAAAGCATTTGGACAGCTTTATTATCTGATAAGGGAAAATTAGCCACACTTGTATTGATGTGGGAAAGGGGTGGGACCATGGTTGATATTGGTCCTATCACACTATCCGACTTTGGGTAAGTCCAAAACTGCATTGCATCTCTGCACCTTAGCTTCCTCACCTATAAAATAAAGGGGCTGGATAAGATGACCTGAGCTCCTTTCTAGCTCTAAATACAAGATCCTATGATAGATATTTTGTGGAATAAGAGAAAAGTTTTTTTTTAAGGTAAAAACAATCTGTATTTAGTTGAGCTTCTGCCAAAGGCTATTTGTCTTCAATATTTATTTCACTCCAGTTTGGAATATTTGACAATGGCCTTCTCTCTGCCCCATCTCCTTGGAGACATGTAATGATCAAGTCATTTTCAGGCCAGGAAGTATTTTCTGATGTTCACCCTACCCCTAATCATTCCCATTTCATCTTGTTACTTAGAACTGTTCTCCCTCACACCCTCCACATATTTGTAGACCATTATAATTCTCTTCCTTATTCCTTGCCTAGCCAAACTAAACAAATTTAATCTTTTAATATATCCTTCATGAGTCAGTCCTTCTCTGGATGTTTAATCATTCCTGGGCACTTAACCATTCCATTTATTTTTCTTGTCTTTGGAACCTCCAGGCTATATGCCCAGTTCTTCCATAATACTCTAGGTAACAGTGTCAAGACAGAACTCCAGGCTGTCTTGGGCCATGTGTGTGGTAATTTCTGGATTTCCTCAGGTCAGAGGAAGAAAATTTCCCCCTCCCCCCCAAAGTAGGCCTAAAATACTTTGGGGAGTCCTTGATGACTCTGCAACTCCATATACATTGTTTTCAAAATTGCAACCCAGTTTTTTTTGTTTGTTTGTTTGTTTAGTAGGCAACCAGATGGCACAGTGGATAGAGTGCTAGGCCTGGAGTCAAGAAGACCTGAGTTCAAATCCAGCTATGCAACTTTGGGGAAAGTCACTTGACCTCTGTTTGCCTAGGAGGCAGTTAGATGGCTCAGTGGATAAAACAATGGGCCTGGACTCAGGAAGACCTGAGTTCAAATTTGACCTTAGATACTTATTAGCTATATGACCCTGGGCAAATCATTTAACTTCTGTTTGCCTTAATCCACTAGAGAAGGAAATGGTAAACCACTCTAGTACCTCTTCTAAGAAAACTCCACAGATGGTGTGGTCCATGGAATCACAAAGAGTCAGGGATGGGTGGAAAAACAACACAAAAAAGCCAAACGGGGTCAGAGACGGTCTTCCTCACCCCTGTTCCAGTCTCTAGGAGCTGAGAGGATATTACTTTTTTAGTCTCCCTTTCAATTGTTTTCATAGCTAGCATCAGCAGCCAGAATTTCCTGTAAGCCTCAGAGCTACCAGCCTGGAAAGGCAGCAATGCTTCCAACCCTTGACTATAGAATTCCTCTCTCTGGTTTAAAAAAGAAAAAAAAAAGCTTTACTTGATTGTCTTCTAAGATATAGTTGAAGACTTGCGTTGCTCTTTGGGGATTCTTCAGTCTTTATTAATCACCCTATTAGTGAAAACATCCAGTATGTACTCAAAAGCTTTGGTGATCTAAACATTAAAAAAGAGAAAAAGACAGAAATAGAGCAATCTATGAGAACTCCTTGAGGTTACAATTCCTTAAATACAATGAAACCTGCTAAAATTGTTTTCTCTTATAAGAATTCCTATTTTTCAGTGCCTGCAAGTGATGAAATTGTTTTCCTTTTTTTTTGAGGTAACAAAGAAATAAACATCCCCTTCAGGGGAAAAATATACATATATGTATGTACATGTATGCATATATAACATACATGCACATATATACAAATATATGTATATATGTATGTTCATATATTTATGTGTATATGTATTTATACACAAATATATCTGTATCTATCTAGCTATATATTTATATCTTTGGTTTATAATCAGTACTTTTATGGATGAAGCAAAAAAAAATGTTAGTTATCAGGAAAAAGCTGAGATAAACTAAAATCCTTTAAAACAAACAAAAAGAGACTCAGACAGCTGCCAAAAGAAAGCCATTGCAATTAGAGGCTGTTCAGAATTTGGGAGCTCTTCTCAGCTGAGCACTAGGGGGCACTGATGATTTACACAATACTGCCCAGTTCGCCTTTTAAAAAATTCTGTGTGTTACCAGCAACTTTTCAGCTTTCCATGGGCAGGAATGGAGTGGAAAATAACCGTTCAAAACTCTGTGTATTGTGAGTCAGAGGTTAAAAATATGCTGCGCAGTATCCAGCAGGGGAAGGAGGAGAGGTGGGTTATGTTCATCCCCTCCCCAATCTCTGTCCCCTACCTGTGCATTCACGGAATTCAGATATAAAGCCTGTTAACCTAATTTCTAGCAATGAAATATGGGATCACTAAACTTAATGCTGTGTTTCATACCTTGCTTCTTTCTTTTTTAACCTATGCATTTAAAAAAAATCACAGTAATTGCCTAATTAATCATATCAATGGCCCTTCACTTATAATAAAGAAGGAATTAAGAATGGAGGTGTGGCAACATTCTGCACCATAGTCCCTACCCGCTCTACCGAAAGGAAGGATGTGTGTTTCTTCTCTTCTCTGGAATCAAGATTGCTTTTTGCAACTAATCTGAATTCAGCCGCCTTTTAATGTTATTTTCAATTACGTTATTTTAGTCATTGGCTATATTTTTCTCTTTTACAGTGTTCCCATGATCCTCTGAATTTCTCAGATTCATTGTTTCTTATGATGCAATAAATTCCATTCCTTTCATATGCTACAGTTTGTCCGGTCATTTTCTAATTGATAGACACCCACTTTGTTTTCAGGTTTTTACTCCCACAAAGAATGCAGCTACGAATATTTGTTTCTTTCACAGACATTATTTTTGTGGTGACAGTTCAGGAGAAGATGATACAGCATATTTGGAGCCCCTAACATTGATTTATAAATTTCTCTCATGGCCTCAGTTTCCTCATTTGTAAATTGAGGTGATTAGATTTGATTGTATCTTAGGTCCCTTTCAGTTCTAAAGTCTACAGTCCTATAAACCAAGGGTCCACAAATTATACCTTCAGGGCAAAATCCAGCAGCCTGTTGGTTTTTACATTTTTTAAGTCATTCTTAGACTGTTAGACAAAAACTGGCAATGTCCTTAGATTTGGCCCTTGTTGACGTGGACTTTGCTGACCTCTGCTATTAGTCTTTGGTCTAGTGTCAATTCTAATACATACCATTAGATTATATATACTTATGTTTTCATGTAATTAAATATAAATAAAAGGGTTAACACTGCACAGGAATTCTGACCATATCATAGGCTGCCCTCTAGTAAACTGACAGTTTTAGGTTTTAAAATAAAAGGGAAAACGTAGATAGTGATCTGCTTAATATATGCTACAAATTCAGTGGAATAGGACAGAGGTTAAGGAGGGAACACCTAAAATTGCAATAATTT